CTGGCTAATGAATGAGAGTCAAAGACGTCATCAGGTTTCTGGAGAACAGATCAGCTGCTATTCTGATTGTATCATGTCTGAATGCCCATTTCCTCTTTTTTCTTCTCAAGTATAATTCAGAAAGCATTAGGTGTTTTGTTTTGTGTTCATGAAAACAGAAGGTGCTAAACTCTCTCATTTCATTTCAAATGTGCTTTATTGACATGAAAAATTTTACAATGTATCGCCAAAGCATTTATAATGTTTACCATGAATCTTGAACAGATAAGAACGAATTATGAAACAGTAAATAAAAAGAAAGTGAAACAAACATGTCTCTGTTTCTATAGACTTTTTTGTAAGATTTGAAATGCTAAACCAATAAATGTATAGCGCTGAAGATGAAGATGTGTTTGTTAGTGGATGATGTTGATAGTGAATGTGATGGACTGACTTCATACATTAAATAAAAATCAACACAACGTCAGCTGATGCCTCCAAGTCTTCCGGCTTTACATACCATTTCATGAGTGTGTTTAGTCTGTTTCTCTTCCTCACACACACACAGAGAGAGAGAGAGGGGCCAGTCAAGTGATTGATTTAATAACTATTTAAAATAAGTTAAAATTCTATGTCTTTCTTCCTGACCTTTCCCATGACCCAGTGCTCTGTGTGTGTGTGTGTGTGTGTGTGTGTGTGTGTGTGTAGGATATACAACATCAATTCCCAACAGTCCATCACAACAGAAGACAGAGAGAATATGTGTGTGTGTGTGTGTGTGTGTGAGTGTCAGTGCTCTGTGTGTGTGTGTGTGTGTGTGTGTGTGTGTGTGTGTGTGTGTGTGTAGGATATACAACATCAATTCCCAACAGTCCATCACAACAGAAGACAGAGAGAATATGTGTGTGTGTGTGTGTGTGTGTGTGTGTGTGTGTGTGTGTGTGTGCGCACAGATCCATCACATCACTGTAATTGGAATCCACCAGCAGCCCATTTATAGAGACTGTGTGTGTGTGTGTGTGAATATTCAGTTATAACTGTGCTCATATTCTCAGTTTGAACCGACAGTCAGATCAGAACCATAAATATGACCGCAGTATGTTCTTATATTATATAAACAGAATAGTAACATATATTTCCGAGTGTTTGTATTGGCACAATTGCTGTTGTGCAACTCAGGATGTGACGTCCCCGGCGTGAGCTTCAACACCGGCCCCCATTGTGAGTGAAATGAGTGTCCAAAAGCCCCTTTTGCTCTGATATGAGTCTGTCAGACCCCCAGGGGAAAAACTCTACAAATGCAGTAAGAGAACAATAGAGTGGAATTAAGATACAACCACTGAAAACAAGTCTTGCTGCGTTTCAAGTTGGTTAATCTTGTTTTAAGCGCGTTTTTATATTTAACAGAAAAATTCTTATAACGGTTTTGAAAAGTCGTTATATGGAAAATGGAGGGAAACGTTCCAAAGAAAGAGCGCGCGTTTGAGTGCTGGCACTGAGCGACAACAGCTGCTCTCTCTCTCTCTCTCTCCCTCTCT